TGACCGAGAAAGACATCAGCTGAGGACCACCCCCAAGGTGAGAAGGAAAGGAAGGAAAAAGAGAAAGGAAAGGAATAAACCATTAACTATCCTTCGGAGATATCATTTTGTTTTGGGAAAAACACCTGTTTTATGTCAGAGCTGGCCATGATAAAAATTTGATACCAGGATAGTTAATTAGCGACAGAATGCGAATGCGTCCAGTTAACCACCCACCTGACGCTGTCGGAAATCTCGATTGATAAAGTCCAGGTGACATTCTGTTAAGATAGAGATTAGGGACCACGCTACGAGTCGTGGGAGGTCTGCTCGGGGAAGAGAAAGAAAGAAGAAAAAGAAAAAGGAATATAATTTTTTTTTCCTTTGAGCGATAATTGCAAACACCCACGCTGCTGAGCGTTCATTGGCTGAATGGTGGCGTGAGCAGTAGGCGAAGATAAACATGTGAGATACCGGTGTGGAAGGGGGAGTTTGGGGTTACGATTCCCTTAAAGGTAGAAAGTAATGGACTTCCAAAGGTGGAAGGTGGTAAATTTTCCTATCCGAAAGCAGGGAGGGTCCTTGTTGTGGATTTGGAATTGTCAGGGAACCTCAGGCCCCGGCGGGCCCACCCCGGTTTTGGTCGGCGTCCATATAAGCAGAGTCGCAGCGAGTTAGCCAGTAGTTGAGTTGGAGAAAGTAGTTGGAGAGCTGTAAGCTCTGAGACCCGCCTCGCAGAAAGCTGACTGGAGATCCACGCATTCTGACTTCAACTTCTAACCAAAAACAATTTATTTTTGAAGAACGACTTAGACTCACACCACCAAAACAAGTTTTGCGAATATCGCCTGAAGACACCAAAAACCAGTTTCTTGAAAAACAATTTAAGATGTTAAGACTCGCCTAACAAACACAAAGTGTCACGAATCCATATTAGCGGTTTGGGAGAAAGATGTAGTCCTGTATTCAGCAACCAGATATAAAATATTGTTATTCTTTTTTTAACATATTTGAACTTTTCGACTTGTTACTTTATTTTCTTTTAGATATACTTGTGCGGTATTACCCTTATTCGGACTAGACTTGAATTGCGGCCCGGCGACTGATTGATTTTGTCTACCTAAGATCAAATCACAACGTGGGTAGGTTAGACTAGAAGTCAAATCAGTTACTTCGGTAACCAGACGTTGGAGACGAGCTGGGAACGACAAAGCTGATACCGAATCTAACCAGATTGCCATCCGAATCAGCCAAGGGTTAGAACGTCACATTTGGTGCCGCGACCAATACCAAGTCAGTTGGTCATCACAGGACAGGACGACAACGGAGCAGACAGGCACGGGGTGACGTCACAGTAATAATACAATTGGTAATACGGTTAGTAGGTCCAGAAATGCGGTTAGTAACAATAATAATATATATACAGTCTGGGAAATTCAGTATCGAAGTATGAATTCCTTCTGAGTCTACGTGCTCGCAACTGTGACTCCTAAAAAGCGGTTACCTGACACTCTTACTCTCTCACTATTCAGTGTATCACTCGATCTGTGTATCTCTCCCGGGTATTCACCGCCAGCAGTACAAGTACACACTGGTCGAGTCCACTTGTATAAAAAGGGGTAGACCCCATAACAATAATAATAATAAAAATAATAATAATAATTGAGAACACTGAGCAAAGTAGGATCTGCAATTTTATCGGCCCTGACCTGGCATCTCTGCTTCAGACACATTCCCACTGCCGTTTCTATAAAAGTTTCATGGTAATATTCTAATGAGGTTCCCATTTTGGTACTTTGATTTTACGAATTTAAGCCCAGTACTAGATTGGCGGCAAGGTTGAAATGGCTAGATGTAACCGTAAGTTCTATGTTAACAGTTTCTTCTCGCTTGCGAAATTTTCCCCCGCCTTTTTTTCTATCCACTCAACGTTGATCTCCAAAATTTTAAACACAATGTTAACCATTGTATTCTTAATTTCTGTTAATTTCTTGTTCTCTTCCCCAAATATTATGTTGCTTTTCTAATATTCTTTCACACTCATTAATCACTTGCATCTTTCTTTATTGATTTGCCTGGGTTCATATGATAAAAGCGACAAAAGAAACGGAGATATTATGCGTGACTATAAAAATGATAACAACAATAACGATAGTAGTAGTAGTAGTAATGGAAGAAGAGAAAACTTTGATTTTTTTAAAATTTCTCATATATATATAGAGATAGATAGATAGATAGATAGATAGATAGATTTGGTTGGATTGATGTGAGTTTGTGACCCTAGGTTTCACGCTTTTGCGATCGTCAGAGTTTGTCTGACGATCGCAAAATCGTGAAACCCAGGGTCACAAACTCAATCCAACCAAATATGTTAGCTCTATCTCTGATATTAAGCGCTTTCTAATAAGTACCGCGGATATAATATACAAATAATTATATATATATTTATTTATATTTATATACACACACATTTCACACACACACACATATATATATATATATATATATATATATATATATATATTATTCAGATGTAACGAAAACGAAAAGCACATGAATTCAAACGTTCATAGCATTAATTTAAAAAGGTCTCAATACCAAGAGTAAAGTAATACTTGTTAATAATGAAGATGCTACATATGGACAAACAAGTACTCACGCCAAAGATACATTTTTGTTTCGATGAGAATGCCTCTAGACAGAAGAGGAACAAAGATGGTTACAAACGATTCTATTTAAAAATTCTATTTATGAAACATCTCTTTCTTTTTTTCATTATTTAATTTTACAAAAAGACATAAGGCGAAACAACATTAAAAGAAAGACATAAACGGTTCCCATAAAAGGAAAAGATGAAGAAGGAGAAAAAGAAGAAAACAGGCAGAGAGAAGAGGCCAAGAAGACAATAAAAGGAAAAAAGAAAGAGAAATATAAGAGTTAAGAACAATTAAAAGACAACTCGTTATATCTCCAAAGAAAAAGAAGAAAAGAATAGAAGAGAAGAGAATAGAAAAACAAATAGATCGATCTACATGAATACGAAAAAAAGAATAAAAAGTTGTCTGTATGTAACATCTTTATAATATATATATATATATGTGGGGTGGGTGGGTGCGGCCAAAAATGTATACCCATTTCAGAAAAGGAAAAAAAACTTTTATTTCGCAGATTTCTCAAAATGCGATTACACGGTTTACTGGAGTATGGTATTTTCTCAACAGATAGCATTACCTTCATGGCTGTAGCATCAACAAGTGACTTCTACAACATGGCGGATGTACGTTTGCCGATTAAAGAACGTAAGATATTTTTGGCGGACACTGTACATTTATAAAAGAATACTTATAACCTCTCAACACACACACACGCATGCATATATATATATATATATATATATATATAGCAAAAAATCCAAAATACCTCATGTGGGTATAGTCTGTTTCTATGTACCAGCTATCCTTAGTCCAAGACTGTCTGGAATTTTTTTTTTTTAATTTGGTTTAGACAGCGTTGGTGAAAACCTATGGGACCACTGACGGGGACGCCTCAGTTTAAATAAGGAGTCTGGGTTGATATTCAGGAGATGAGCCGAAGTTGGGGTATATGTATGCCCAAGGTCTTTAGTTGTATGTAATTGAATTTAGGCTCCAGCTGTTAGTCAGTTTTGTTAGTTAGGTGCTATGCGTGATATATTATGCTTAGGCGATCATGTATCTTTCGATACATGACTGATGAGTTAGATTTTTATCCCGCAGTATGTTGCCATTTCTTTCTGCGGTAGACCAGTTGCACTCCAAGGCTATAGAACCCGATCCGTCCTACTATTAACCTATATCTGGCGGTGGGGGAGAAGAAGAGGATTGATACCTTTCCCAAGGGTATTAGCACTTAAATGAATAGAATGAATTCGAACTCGGCTCTCTGATTCCTCAATCCGAACCGCTATCCGTTACTCCACCGTTAGTGGATTATATTATGTGGTGGGGGATTTACCACGCACACATACAGACACACACACACACAAACACACACACATATATATATATATATATAATTGTATATAAGGATTTTTGTTTGTTTTTTCCGTATATATTTTTTCTTCATATATATATATATATATATATATATATATATATATATATATATGCATGCACACGCACATACACAAATATATATATATATATATATATATATATATATATATATATATATATATATGGATACATACATATGCACAAACATACATACATCCATATACACACCATTCTTTTCCACCATTAAAGTTCGGTCTGGTCACGATAGATAGATACTGTATTTTACGTATGAGCTGCCGTTTTTTTTTCGAATTCTATCGTATATTTCTTATATATAAATATATATATATATATATATATATATATATATATATATATATATATATATATTTATATATATATATAGAGAGAGAGAGAATGAGAGTGAGAGAGAGAGAAAGAGAGAGAGAAAGAAAGAGAGACAGATAGGTTGATAATGGACAGGTCCCGATAGATAGATAATTACTTAAAATTATTTGTTCTGCATATTTCCTTCGAATTATATCGTATATTTTGTCACACACACACACACACATATATATATATATATATATATATACTCAGCAAATGTAGATAATATAATATTACGTAATACTTATAGTTCTGCTAATATTCTGATATATATTTGCGTAAGTATGCGATGTTTTTGTTGCATATTGCATACAACAATGCTTGATATATTAAAATAAATACATACTGCATTTTATATGTGTTTACGCATATATCCCATATATTCATCCGTGTGTGTGTATTTGTGTGTGTGTGAGAGAGAGAGAGAGAGAAAGAGAGAGAGAGACGTGGGTGCATTTATGTGTGTGCAAATGGGCTTCATTGCAGAGACGCTGTCGGGATAACTCAAATGCGAAAATTTCAAGAGAACTTCACATTGATATAATTTGATTCAAGTATATTTTTGCCGTCGGATATTCTTCAGAAAGCGGAGATTACTTTTCCGAGAGAGAGAGAGAAAGAGAAAGAGAGAGAGAACAAAAAAAAGAAAGGAAATATGATGTTCTTGAGATTTTCCAATTCTTTTCTGGTCGATTCTGTAATTGATACTGATAGATCGCGTAGATGTACCTTGACAATTTCGTCAAAAAAAGAAAAAAAACGAAAGAAAGAAAAACAATGAAAAACGGTCATGATGGTGGCGTGTGGAGACTTCACAACAGAATATCTATTTACTTATCTAGTAAGTCATCCCCCTTTTCGTCAAATTAGGTAAACGTACACCGACAGTTCAACGTCCATGCTAAGAAATATTTCATGTTTGTATGAGCCTGTAAGTCTATATAACCGATGTTTTTGTATACATATATGTGTGTATGTCAACGATATCATATAGTTTGAGAGAAAAATATCTCGTTTTTTTTTAATCTTCGGAATTATTTTCAAATTGCTGATATTTCATAATCTTGTCAATTTAAATATGAACTATGAGCATAAATTCTAAGCGCCCTCATGCCTTGAGAACTAGAGATTGAATAAGCAGTAAAATATTAAATAAAAATACACGCAGAAAACGAAAACGCTGGATTATTTTGTACACATGTAATATCAATTCTATGACATAAAAAACAACATAATTTTTTTACATTATCGGTGACGCAGCCTGATCTTCTCTTCTTAAAAATGAGATAAACCATTCTTAACCCGAAAATTTAAATAGAAGATCCAGACTATTATACGGCTGATATGAACGACATCAATCACATTCAGAAATATCTTAATTACGTCCTATATACTGCCGTTTCCCAATATCAATGATTAAAAACATGGCTTCGAGCATTTTTAATTAATGATCAGAGAAAAATATGTGTGTATCTAGATTAAAAAAATATATTATTTTCCCAATTTCTGATCACACACGCAAACACACGTACATACATACATACATACGCACGCACATAGCCGAGTGGTTTGGAACGTTCACTTTCTGATCATGACATCCGGGTTCGAATCTCACTAGGGTCGATTTATCAGGAAAGAGATTTCCTGATGTTATCGGCCTGGAGGGGGATGATCCCAGCGATCGGCATCTTTGGAAAGTGTCTGTTGACTCAATCCTTGTGAGTGAAAATTGGATAGACGTAACGCTTGGGGCCGTCGATAGCTGTGCAGGCACGAAGTCGCAAGCCATCGTGACCGAGGGCTTGAATGTGCTGTTGTTGTTCAGATTGTTGATCATCCTAGATAACACATTCTCTCCCAGAAACTGTAACTAAGGTCTGCTCAGCATCGTTCCAGTATAAACCACAAGTTGGCTCTATGGGTATTGAACAAACACAAATGTTCCTGAGCAAGAGTCTGCAATAGGGATTGGCTAGCCTCCTTTCCAGCTATTTATAGAGTGTCCATAAAGTCTCTTTAAAATTTAAAAGATTTATTACCAAAGCAAATGAACAGAGGAATGTATTGAAATTGTTACAAAATCAGGAGTAGATATTGAACGTTTTCAACTAATTTAATACACTACAGTATTGGCTGAATTCGCTGCACGAAGCACATCAAGACGGTACTCGATTTCTTGACATGTTCGCTGTAGCAGAGTCTTATCAATGCTGTCAATGGCTTCAGTGATCTTTTGCTTTAGATCCGTGATGTCCTGTACCTTTGTTCGATACACGATAACTTTAACATAACCCCATAGATAGAAGTCCAGGGGAGTGATATCTGGTGAACGAAGTGGCCAGAGAATTGCGCCATCCTTTCCAAATAAGCGGTCTGGAAATGTTAGGGGTTTATTTTACAGTACCTCTTTCATCGACAGAATACCTGAAATACAAAAATACATATTTTTTTTTTTTTAGCATTTCACCCCAAGCAAGATGGGATTTCCACTAGCACGCAAGGGTTACGGAGAGCAAAAGTAAAGAGGTGTGATAGTGGAAAGGATGAAGAGAAGTACGGGGAATTATATCAAGGTATCTGAAGATGTCGATTGATATTGCATTTGAATAATTGAAGATTATAGCTATCAGGGAATCAAGTAAGAGGAAGGGAGTTCCACACATGTGAAGGGCGAGTCACGAAGCAGTTGGAGTAGAAGAGAGGGCTATATTTAAAAGTTTCGACAGTGAGGATTGAGATCCAACCTAGAAAGCCCGCTTAAATTCATGCAGTTTGGGAACCAGCGAAAATAGCTCGTCGGAACAGTTACCGTGAAAATACTACTTGTAGAAAAGACAGAGGGAAGCGACGGTATGTCTGTGAGAAAGTGACTGTAGACGAGATACCAGATCAGGAGCATATCCATCTCTGGATTTTGTCGAGGACCTTGAGACGAACAGCGGGAAAACCAGACCATGTATAGCAGCAGTTAAAAACTTTAATATCTACTGAGTACATAGAACCAATCTGATTCAGATATATCATCAATTAATTCTGTGTTTTTTTTTTAAATTGCAAGGAGAGTTGATGGCCACCGTGTATATAATTATATATATATATATATATATATATATAGCATGAAACAGACTGTCGCCTCTAAGTGTTGACTTCTATGTTCACTTTTATATTTACACACGCTCTATCTCTGATATTGAGCCCTTTATCCCATAAATATAGCACATCTTAAGACTATATTTCTTCATATATATATATATATATATATATATATATATATATATATATATATATAGAGAGAGAGAGAGAGAGAGAGAGAACACGAGAATTCATCCTTTCACACGCTTTTCTTTAAAGAATTAAAGAACGTAAAAGAAACGCTTTTATTAACGGATTTCCTAATCAAGTGTTGGATTTCCATATTAGGCGTTTTCTGTCTCAGGTAGCCCATAGCAACGACTAGGATAGAAGTATAAACAATAACACTGATATTTTTATGTCAAATGAACGAAAATTATAAAGAAAATGAAAGTAGAATTAATGAACATTATAAAAAAAAGCAGAACACCAGTTGACAGTAGCAAAGAAATTAGGTTAATTATTTATTAGAAAAAAAATTAAATCCTCTAACCTTATAGTTAAAAATAATAATTCACCTCCTAGAACAAAATTAATTCGGGGAAATATTATTTACGAATTTAAATGCCCATTAAGGAATTATATTCATGATCAATCAAAATTCGTAAACAATTATAAAGGCCACACTTTAACATGTTTGACACGAAGACTCACACTACATCTTTCTGATCATAGTGCAATTAGATCCCATTTAAATACTCATGGAGACCTACCGGACGCTATTCGTAACATATTTGTTGACAACACAAATATATCAGTATCATCTACATGCAAAAAGGGATTAAAATAATGGAAGCCTTATTAATAAAAAAAATTAAAAAAAAACACTCAATAATACCAAATATGAACATGGAGACAATATCTTGACCACGTTTTGAAAAATGAAAATATTATATAAATGCATACATGCAACAAACTATTTCTTATTTAACGCTTAAAATATTTCATCCTTGAAAATGGCTAAATGTATAGCCGAAAGCACACGGAAAAAAGAACATTCGGACATTTTTTTATATAATTTATCATCTGAAAAGAAAACTATTATTAGATCACATGAGAAATTGTATAAAAAAGCTAAATCAAAGCACCTTGTATGTTGTATTCAAAGAAAGATAGATAGATAGATAGATAGATAGATAGATAATATTAGTGTTAAATATACATATAAATATGCAATCATATATCTAAAATGTGTAAATATATATACATACATACATACATATATATTTGTATAAAAAATAATTTCAAGAGGATAGAATCCAGGTAGAACTCAATGCCCAGGACAGAGTAAGGATATTTAATGTATTAGAAATCCGAGAACATTCATATTCTTTTCACTTAAACCGTCTTTGACTACACTCTTTAAAATTTGTCTCTGTTAAATTTTAATCCCCCCACTTCATCTTTAGACCTTCCTGTTCTCCTGTTCTTCTCTAGTTTGTTACCCCTCTATATAGCTTTCATTTACTCTAACATCCTCCCACACTCTCATACATACACTCTCACTAAATTCTATTTTTTATTTCCGAGGATGTTTTTTTCTGTTTTCTTTTTGAATTTGTAGGTCTGATGAATTGGATCGTATTTACAATTCCAATGGAATAAAGTATGACCATGGAATATTAGTGTTTAAGCCTTTATATATATATATATATATATATATATATATATATATATATGCCGGGTGTAACAGCAAAATTGTCCAAATCGTGTAACAGCATAATTATGCATCCCACAAAATCTTCTATACCTAAACATCAACTAAACTATTTGAGTTTCTTTTGTCCGGGTTTTCAGATAAGATGTTTACCCATCATGACACAATTTATCTTAAGAATCACTGAAAAATCCTTTGAGTTATTCATCTAGAAAGAGAACAGGTTAAAATCGTTTTGTGTCAGCCCCAATTTCTTCCCAAATGAGAAATAGTGAGAGGAAAAAGATCATTCATTACTTCAGTATTGGTACAAACATTCATACTCTGATTCCATCTTCAAAGTCCATTCAAGAAATATCAAGATAACGCCGAATAAGTTAAAAAAATGGAGTGTTAGAGAGAAAACCTGGATCAGGGAATCACAACAAGATGAGGGATCAACATTTAAACTTAGGGCTAAAGATATCAAATAGAAAAGATCCAACTCAATGCACATTTGGCACGTGAGAGTGGGTTTTCAGCTAGGACAGTCCAAAGAGCAGTGAAAAAAAACTTGAAAATGAAATCGTACGTGAATCCTGTGAGGCACATTGTTACACTCGAACAGAAAGTTAGAAAATCAGAGAGGGCGAGATCATCTTGAAAAAGTTGTAAGATGATAATGGAATAATGTATATATATATTTGAATTTAATTTCAATACTTCATGAGCTTCCGATCCTTAGCTACGATTAATTAATGATGAACAAATCATTTTCGTTTATGGCTGTTGTCATCACAATTTATCTGATAGGCTTGAAGAGTAATTATACATTCCTATTGCTCCAACTAGAGTCCAGTAACCACGGAATATTACAGCAAGATATCCTTAATCATTTCTAAGGTACAACGTTTCAATGGACAATTTTGCTACTTCAACATTTGGACAATTATATAATGTATATATATATATATATATATATATATATATATATATAAGAATGGATCAATAAATCGGTAAATAATATTATTCCTTGATTCTATACTTTTTATCCAAGTTTGTAATAGAAAAACGTTGGATTCCGTGCATTGACATGCGATGATTTTAAGCTGGAAATAAGTATTTATTAGGTAATATATGATGTAGTCCATCAGTACGCTCCGAACATATGGATAAATTACATCCAGTGTATCTATATATATATATATATATATATATATATATATATATATATATATATATATATATATTATATATGTGTGTGTGTGTGTGTTATCCTGTACATACCTCTATACAAATAACGTTACTTAGGAAATTACATGAAAAAAGTAAGTTCGACAACAAAACATGGTTTCATTTATTTTGAAATCTTTTTTCTCCAGTCTGCCTGTACCAATCTGAACGTACGTCAGGTTCAATACGAAAACTCATGAAAAAACACACGTTATGTTTCAAGATTCGTATTAAAAATTCGTACATGTATACATACACATATATACATACGCATATAGATGAGTAGTTTATAATGGATTTATTTTTAAATGTTTCTTGAAAGCGATGCAGAAGAGAAAGTTTTCCAATAATACAGTGATTTTTCGATATAATGGAAAATGTCTTGAATTTGATGAAAAATACAGTGAACGGAATTTGATATATGAGGCCGAGATAGTACAATATATAAATATAGATACATACTTACGAAAAGACAGTTATTCAGATAGATAGATAGATAGATAGATAAGAGACAGAATAAGATAAACCGATAGATAAAAGATAGAATACGATAGATAGATAGATAGATAGATAGATAGATAGATAGATAGATAGATCCATCCATCCATCCTGCATATCTCAATATTAGTTGAACATTACTCTTACTTCCTTTTACATATCTTTCTTGGGCACTCTCGATGAAGAGATCGATCGATCGACAGATAGATAGACAGATAGACAGGTAGATCTTACATTTATCTCTGTTGATGTTTATACATAAATCCTTCATTTTCTCTTTTTCTATCAATAGATTAAATGCAGGAATAGCTGTTGATCTATTTCTCCTGTCTCTCCCAGTAGATAAAGCATAGATAGATAGATAGATAGATAGATAGATTTTAATGTATTCTATTAGATAAAGCGTAATCTTGCTCAACGGAAAATATGTCTTCTTCTCTTCCTCGAGACATACTCTGATAGACCAATCTTTTTTCTGTGAAAAATATTCGCAAAATAAAAATAAAAATCATGAAAGTAAATTTTATTACTGAAAAATATTTCTATATTTTTCCGGTTACATGTAATAGCATATATCTTTCTATGATATATGTGCATACATTTCCTTGATAATTGTGTCTTAACTTTCATATATATATATATATATATATATATATATATTTGTGTGTGTGTGTGTGTACGTCTATGTCCGTGTCTGTGTGTGATTACGGAGTGAGTGAATGTGGGGTGTATTTTATATAATTGAATAAAATAGCTATATCTACACGAGAATGAATACGAAAAATTGATCCCATGCATGCAAATGCATAGGCAAACATATACCGGGTCGCGCAGAAAGTCATGCCTCCCATTTTCTGATGTGAGACCATGACGCAAAAAGGCGGTTGTGGATTGTATAGCTATAGGTTTCTCTACCTCCCATAAAATAACCCATATTTCCTTTCTAATGTGCGTCCGAAGCAGAGGGATCTCACTGTATTCATTAATGACGTTCATCGACGAATATCGAACGTTTATGGAGACCATTCAATGGATGCGATCACTGTTATGTTTCATACACTGTTTGTTGTTCTTTTTTAGTATCAGGTGATTTTGGCTGAGGTTTTTCATGCTTGGCAGCTATCTATGGTAATTTCATGCATAAAATATAACCATAATGAAAATTAGAATATGGGTAGTTAGCGTCAAGCTTGGAGGTCGTGATTAAAATGTTAAGATTTTTATTTGATAGGTATCTTAAGGTGGCGTTACACGTGCTTAATCATCACAGATGATCTTGTCTGTCTGCTATCAGTATGGCTGATTGCTAGACGCGAATAGACCAACACTTTTCGATTTCCACGAACACGAAATGTAGTGACTACATTGAATCAGTTGTTACTCCTACTGCTAGGAAGAATAGTTCAATGTGTCGCGCCAGAAATTTTATTTTTCTCTTCAGAATGCATATTGCACATTTACAAATCTACTATTCGCCTGTGCATTGAATACTGATGACATATCTGGTCTGGTGCTCCTGTTGTATATCTCGAGATTCTTGTTAAAATTCAAATAGCCTAAAATACAGAGTGACACCTAAAAACGGGACCTATTTAACAATCCAATAAAACCAAGAGTGACAGAAGAAAAATGGTTTATTCATAGTAGTTGAAACCTTAAAACATGCCATTTAAGAAACAATGATAGAATTTTCATTTTTTTAAAAAATTACGTCGTGTAAATGGCGTCCTCCTGTACGAATACATTCTTGAAAACTGCTGTTGAGATTCCTCATTGACTGCTGCAACATCTCAGCTGGGAGACTGTGAATTTCATCTTGAATTCTAAATGTCGAAATGTTTACTTGCTCAAGGTTACTGTCTCGCAGTGTTGCCACTCGCTCGTGTCTGGCAATACGCACTTCAAAAATTCCCGTTTTTTTGGGGTCACCCTTTATAATCAATCTTCATTTAGCATCTCGATTTCAGTTACTTTCTCACCGACCTGAAATGGTTTCGATCTGTCTTTTCTTCAAATATTTGCACGGTAACTGTCTGAACTACTTGAATTTAAGTGTGCTACTTTTGTAACTAGGCCCTACGTTTTATTGTTGAACTAGCTAGATTCAAACGCCCGTTCTATTCTAATATGCAATCACCATTCCTATTCTGTTTCTTTCCTCGCGCTTCTATTCCGTGATATCCCCTTCTGATTCCTTGCCACCTTGATAACTACAATCTTCAAAAATTTAAATGCTTCGTCAATCGACATCTTCTGTCTTTCTGAACCCTGTTCCTTTTCCTCGCTTCACTTTACTAAAGTATTCTTACACCCTTTCAATTGCTTTAAACCCTGCGTCCTAATGGCATTATCGCCTTGTTAAATAATTTATCTATTAACAAATAATTCTGTTATATTTTATGCTATGGTAACTTTTCCCAACATTTCGCTTAGATCGACTTACGCGCAAATAAGGGTAAGGCATGAAACCATCTGTTCTCGTAACTATGCGTTGAACATCAGAAGAAACTGGATCCTAAGATCCTTGTATTGTTACCCAGTCTACCGCAGAAAGAAACATCAAACTCATGTGAGTAAATCTTTTACCTAACCAGTCATGAATCGAAAATGACATAATCGCCCAAGCATGAATCACGTATGATACTTAACTTCCTGTAAACATTATGAAGTGGACAAAGTCCGACAATTATTTTAAAACATTTTTATGTTTATACATTCTTTTTTAAAGATACAAATATTTAAGTAAATGCTCTGTTTATAATAAACAGTATTAACGACATTTACCGGCTTGAATGTCCGAGAAATTGTCATAGAAAATATGCGTCCTCCGACAGGAATGGAGCCTGTTATTTATACGGAACCGTCATATAGCCTGACGTGCTTTTACTTAAATATTTGTATCTATAAAAAAGAATGTATAAACATAAAAATGCCTTAAATGACTGTCTATGGCGACGATATATTTGTGGTGTGGCATGCGTAAGCAGACGGAGTTTGTCATATCGTTATCTTTAAATAAAGATCTTTCTACTTGAACACTGATAAAAGATATACGAGAATTCACTGTGACGGATTTAGGCAAATTTAAAAAATTTCTCTTCTTTTGACTGTTTAATATTCATGCCCCAGGAAAAAAAAATCAATTTTTAGTTTTATTCAAATTTCAAAGTACAAAGAGCAAGGGTTTTTTTCCAAAACATTATTTTTTATTCGAAATTAAGAAATGCAGAATTTTATTTTAAAATGAAGTTCCCTTATACCTAAGGACCGCTTTTCGACGTGCTGTAATTATTATCACACTTGTCTCGCTCGATGAGTTTCGACTATGTAGTGAGTTCGATTCTCACTGTATGCACAAGACAGCAAGTATAGAACTATAAAATAACTAAGTTTCGTTTATTGATTAAATCATAAACGTAATGTAACATAATTTTCTATTATTAATATTTAATAAAGTTGCATAGAAAATTTGAGTCTTGCTTAACGACTTATTAGGTTATAAAATAAGTCGTGAGCGTAAAAAATCTTTGGAAAGAAAAATATTTGGCGAATGTTTTAGAACAACAATTTCTTATTGTTTACTAACATTCACATATATCTGTCTATATTTTTGAGATGAGGTATTATGTACACTATTTACATTATTCTGACTATTGTCCTCATCTGTGTCGCCATATTTATTACGAGGTTTCGGCCGTTTGTATGCTCCGGCCTTCTTCACTTGATTGGAAATACTGAGCCCTTCATTTTGCTCACTGGGGTAGACTGTTCTTGTTCCAGTGTCATGTCTAATGGATGTCAGTTATCAGTTTTCTCCTGTTAATTCCCCCCTCCAAGTTCTCCACCGCCTTAGCCAGGTATTGAACTTACACTCTTTGGGTCCTGTCACTGGATCTAAACAACGCCTTTATCCACATAGCACAGTGGATAAAGGCGTTGGTTAGTGAAAGGACCCAATGAGTGTGAGTTCAATACGTGGTTAAGGCAGTGGAGAACTTGGAGAAGGGAATTAACAGATAACTGACATCTATTAGATATGGCACGTGGAACTAGAACAGTCTACCCCAGAAAGCGAAATAAAGGGCTCAGTTCGACATTCCAACCACCTGAAGAAGGCCGGAGCGTACATCGGCCGAAACGTTGTAATAAATATGGCGACAAAAATGAGGACAATAGTCTAAATAATGTAAATAATTTACATATATTTATGATTTTAGTTAATTTAATTACTTTTTAGTTGTATTTCAAACCCCTAAAATGGAATGTCAAGTAAACAAAACTGTTCATTTTCAACACCTTTTGCTTTTTGCATATAATCGAGGAGTTAACGTATAGAGATGTCGAAATGCCTCAAAGTTGGTTTTGACGCTTCAAATAAAGGAAATTTTGGGCTTGAGAATGTTGACCTGTTGAGTTTGATGAGGAGCGATTAAAATATTTTCTTCCCGAAAATCCACGTCAAACGCCTAGAGAATTAACGGAACAGGTGTAAATCACCTTCATTCAATGGGGAAGGTTCACAATCCTTGGTTTATGGGGGCCACACGTGTTGAATGACCACAGCAGCAATCAGCGCGCAACACCTGTAGCCAGTTTACTGGCTCGGCATCGTTCAACGTATGGTCGTAAACAGCGTTTACTTTATCGCATTGTCACTGGCGATGAAAAACTGTATCTTTACGTCAATACGAAGCAGCCTAAAGAATGGTTCAGACCCAATAAGTAAGCGACACCTCGAGCTAAACGAAATCTTCTTCCTCGTAAGACCATGTTGTGTGTATGGTGGGACTGGGAAAGCATAATTCATTACATCATTCGGACTGTTGTCTTCACCTTTATTGCCATATTCATGACGTCACGGCTATTGTACGCCCCGGCCATCTTAAAAACTGTCTATCTATGTTTTTATTTATCTAGCAAGTCTGTCTTCTTAGAAACGAAGGACAAGGAATATTTCGTTGATTTAAAAAGTGATATTTAGCTACCTCCCCCTAACGAGGGTTACATATGGCACAAGGCCGGGTTTAATGTGGGATTTCCGAGCCCGTAGGCTCGGCCAAAAATATTCCCTCTTTGAACTCGCATAAGCGGGTTCAGGGGCAGTCAACCACCCCGAATGAGACTCTGCCCTTCGGCGGAGCCTCGTCCGGGTTCTCTCCGCCCGAGAGCAGAGAGTTAGACTGTTACTTAGCAAATATTTTTGCCAAGTTAATTCGTTGATTTAAAAAGTAATAGCAAGATATATAGATGCTGTTTATCAGTTGAACTTGTACATCTTTTTCATGACAATGATCTGGGCTTTTGTGGGAGGTCATCCGAAACGTGATGGTCAAATATTAACGTTCATTTTATACTTTGAATTCAGTCTAAAAGAAAAATCTGAATTCCTTTCATGCTTGGAATTTGGTTGTTTGAGTTTGTTTAGCGACCTATAACCACTTGTACGGGTTATTTAATACCAAAATCTAAATATTTTGAATGCAATTGTATGGCTATAACTAAATATATTTTGAACGCACTTGTATGCCTTCAACTCCAGATAAAATATATTGTTGCTCATTTTGCTATAAATTGTATTGTTGGTTATTTTGATATGAAATTATTGTCGGTAATTTGAATAAAAATATGTATTGTTGGTCATTTTTTTTTTTTCATCAAATATGTATTGCTGGTATTTAACTATGAAAAATGGATTTACCTGTTGGTGTTAGATATTGGTTGTGTGGTTGGTTGATTTTGGTAGCAGCATATCAACCTCTATGACTTGTTTAATGCCGTAATCTAAATATACCAAATATATTTTGAACGCAAATGTATGCCTTTAACTACAGATAAAATGTATTGTTGGTCATTTTGCTTTAAAATTGTA